ACAACTTAAGCTTGTATTTAATAACATTTACGTTACATCAATTTAGGTTTTAGGGCAAATCATTTCTTGAAATTGAGTCAAAATTATTTGCTGTGCTCACAAATATTGTCAAAAGTCATTTTAACACAGAACAATCCTATGAATAGTTGAAGTTTTCGTTAGTAGCTGTTTTCACCGGCAAAGGACAAAACATAGCCGTTTTGTCCTTTGTCCAATTAGCAAAACTGTTGCCTATTTTCATTTTACTGGCAACAGACAACAGGACTAGAAGGCACCACATTAGCATGAGTGTGAAAGAGCAGTTTCTTCTACTGCGATCAGTTTATGTATGTATGTTAGGTATTGACATGGAGCTTTGTGAACTGTGGGTAATCGTACAATACCTGAGAGCTTAATTTGAGATGCTGAACAGTTGTATATATACACACACACATATATATATACACACACACACACACACATCCCTTTGTATTTTTATCAATGCACTTTAAGTGGTCCTACAGGGAAGGACTAACAGAGCTCAGTTTCTGCTATTTGAATGTCAGTATTTAAGCCTTGTTCCAGTTTTGCATCTAATGCATGTCAGTTATAAATCATGGCTTGTTGAGTTTAAGACTTTTAGAGGTAGAATTTTATATTGTGCAACATATGGGCATTCATTTCCTATACTGGTTTATAATTGGAGATGTAAAACTGGAAAACGCTCTACAAAAACAACACACCGGTGCATTGACATCAAATGAGGACTGCAAAGAGTGGCTGCAGTATTTGGTTCAGATAGCGATCTTTACTGCAGTTGTGCAATATTCAATTCTCTTTCAGAATACAAACTCCACTGTACTTGTTTTGGGTATTCTAGAGAATTTTCATTTTTGGGTGAACTATCACTTTAAGACTGATTTGCTTGGTCAAAAAAAAAAAAAACGCCAGTTTATACCCTATTCGTAAAAAGTGCCATTTTTTCTAAAATAGAGCTTTTTGACTTTTTGGAGTAAGAATCTCTTTAAAGAGAAAGTCTTAATTACAAAATCTCTGTGCAGCAAAAGTTTAAATGCATATTTTACAAATGTTGATTCAAAAACAAAATTGATGTTTGGGGTGGTGGAGCCACTAATAAGATGAGATTAGCTTGACAACAGATTCTAAAAAATACAAAGTGCCAGTAAAGAGAAAAAAATAAGGAGAGAGGGGAAAAAGAGACTTTTTTTTTTTTTAAGTGCTTTAGACTCGCATTAAAATACAACAGATGTTCAGTATGGCTACAATGGCTAAATGTTCTTGGGAGGAATCCAAACTCAAACAAACAGAAGAAACAAAAGACAGCTAAACTATATAACAAACCCATTTTATCCATTACAGTGAGAAATGAGAATTTTCATAGAAACAAAACAAATAACTATTTAATGAAGTAAAAATAAACTAAGCTGCATTTTCCCCTCAAACAACAACAACAAAAAAATCTAAGTGGGTAAGAGAGCATTTAACAAAAATAATGGAAACAGGTTAAAAAACAAAATCCATTATTCAAAATGTAAAAGGCATTAAGCAACTCAATATCCCTCTATGAGAAGGCAATTGCATGTGCAGTGCTCACGGTACAGGCAAGAGCAATCAAACACAGCCTGAATTCTGCAGGAATGCAAATGAAGACGCTTCGCAATACAGGACCTCAGGAAAACAGGTCAAGAGAAAATACTACAAAACAACAGCACAATGCTACAGACATCCCATCACTTCTTACTGTATGTACAATGAAACATTTGAACTTATTTTCCTAAAGTAATATTTTAAAATCCACCTTATATGAATTTCTTTTTTCCGTGGAACACAAAAGAAGGTATTTTGCAGAATGTCCGAGCTGCTCTTTTTCCATACAATGAAAGTAGAAGATTTAGAGGTCCAAAAAGATACCAAAAGCACCATAAATTTAATGTATCATGTTATATGAAAAAGACTGAAATTTCAGTATGTTCTTTGCACATAACAACTGTATGGCTTCAGAAAAAAATGAAGCACAAATCATACATATAAATTAATTGTTTTTTTGTGTCGTCAGGACATTCTGCAAAACATCTCATTTTTATCATGCAGGTTTGGAACAACAGTAAAAATTTGAAAAAACACAAAACTACATAAATGTTAGCTGTTTGCACTCTTGTAGTACAAGGGCAGCTATAAAATGGAATAAAATGTCCCTATGCTTGATTTAAGCATACAGGCTGAAAATATTAACCCGACAGTACGAGTAAACCATCAATATTTCATATGATCCATTTTCCACTGGATCTGAATACAGATTCTAGCTCTTATCATCTGTGTTCATGATATGTTAAAGGAATATTCCAGGTTAAATACAACTTAAGCTTGTATTTAATAACATTTACGTTACATCAATTTAGGTTTTAGGGCAAATCATTTCTTGAAATTGAGTCAAAATTATTTGCTGTGCTCACAAATATTGTCAAAAGTCATTTTAACACAGAACAATCCTATGAATAGTTGAAGTTTTCGTTAGTAGCCGTTTTCACCGGCAAAGGACAAAACATAGCCGTTTTGTCCTTTGTCCAATTAGCAAAACTGTTGCCTATTTTCATTTTACTGGCAACAGACAACAGGACTAGAAGGCACCACATTAGCATGAGTGTGAAAGAGCAGTTTCTTCTACTGCGATCAGTTTATGTATGTATGTTAGGTATTGACATGGAGCTTTGTGAACTGTGGGTAATCGTACAATACCTGAGAGCTTAATTTGAGATGCTGAACAGTTGTATATATACACACACACATATATATATATATATATATATATACACACACACACACACACATCCCTTTGTATTTTTATCAATGCACTTTAAGTGGTCCTACAGGGAAGGACTAACAGAGCTCAGTTTCTGCTATTTGAATGTCAGTATTTAAGCCTTGTTCCAGTTTTGCATCTAATGCATGTCAGTTATAAATCATGGCTTGTTGAGTTTAAGACTTTTAGAGGTAGAATTTTATATTGTGCAACATATGGGCATTCATTTCCTATACTGGTTTATAATTGGAGATGTAAAACTGGAAAACGCTCTACAAAAACAACACACCGGTGCATTGACATCAAATGAGGACTGCAAAGAGTGGCTGCAGTATTTGGTTCAGATAGCGATCTTTACTGCAGTTGTGCAATATTCAATTCTCTTTCAGAATACAAACTCCACTGTACTTGTTTTGGGTATTCTAGACAATTTCTGATCAGAAACACTACTTTACAATTAGTGGTAATGATTCTTTTAAATTATACATTACATATGACACGCACTATTGTGCAAAAGTTAAAGGACTCCAAGTTGTTTTTTAATGTTTCTGAAGAAAGTCTCTTAGGCTCACTAGTGCTCACATTTATTAGACTAAAATGAAAGCAAAAACAGTCAAATTGTGAAATATTACTACAATTTCTAAAATAACTTTTCTATTTCAATATATTTTCAAATCTATTTTATTCCCGTGATGTAAAGCTGAATTTTCAGGATCATTACTCCAGTCTTCGGTGTCACACGATCCTTTAAAAAAAAGGATTCTAATATGTTAATATAATATGCTAATAAGTATTTCTTATTATTATCAATGTTGAAAATAGTTATGCTAATTAATATTTTTGTGGAAAGTGATGATTTTAAGATTAAGAGTTAAGAATTTTTAAGATTCTTTGACAACTAGAACATTCAAAAGAACATTAATTTTTGAATGTTTTATTTGATTTATTTGAAATAAACATTATAAATACCTTTACTGACCCTTTTGATCAATTTATTGCATCCTCCTTGAAAGTATTAATTTATTAAGAAAAAACTATACACTTAATAATAGTGCAACTTTAACATTTTTTTTATGTATTTACTATAATGCAAACTCAAATATATTTGTTGCCTTCAAAAACACATGGCAGTTCTGAATGACCATCAATGGAGAAAAATATATGGTCTAATCTACCAGCAGAGGTTAACTGGACCATGCTAACCAGCTACAAGGACAGACACTTCTGACTGGGCATTACAAACAGCTTTGCATTGTTGTCCAAGGTAGATTGCATTCTGCAGGGGGATTGAATCTTGCACAACACTGGGAAGGCTGACAAATGCAGGAATGGTTTTGAGCATTTGGCCTGGGCTCTACAGACAGCCATCCAGTTACGGTACACATCCAACCGATCTCCAGCAATCCAACCATCCTAATGGTGGGATGAGGCTTTAAGCACTGAGCCATTCCATTTTATGCTGTGTACGCTCCATTAGATTAATGGTGAATCAGCAGTCTATTGGAGTAAAGCAAGTCCTTGGGTTTTCCCACTCAACTGAAATCATTCCTAATGGCTTCTAGTCTTTCAGAGAGGAGGAAATGGTTTATAGAAAAAGATTTGCATGATAAGCATGGCTGCAGTGGCATATCTGGTGGTGTTACGGTAATGGTTCAATGGCGTTGGGGCGTGTTTGGAAACACGCTTCATTAGACAGTCGCCATCAAGCATTGCAGCGTGGGCGACGCCAATCTGGCCTACTCAAAAATGTGCATCATGGTCAAAGCACCAGAAAAGATGGGGTTAATGCTACAAGATGTCACTTTAAAATGTGTTTTCCAGTGATGAGGGTCACATCAAGAACATCCTGAATGTTAGTCTCAATATTCTTAAAGAGATAGTTCACCCATTTTGTTGCAAACCTCCATGACTCATTTCTTCTGTGAAACACAAAAGATGATATTTCTATCATGTGTCTCAGAATGAAGGTCAATGGGGTCCAATGTTGTTGACTTCAATAACGTCCATTGCATGGACGTTCTCTAAAAGATTGTGTTCCTCATAAAAAACAAAGACATGCAGGTTTGGAATGAGACTCATGACTCATTTCTTCTGTGGAACACAAAAGATGATATTTCTATCATGTGTCTCAGAATGAAGGTCAATGGGGTCCAATGTTGTTGACTTCCATTGCATGGACGTTCTCTAAAAGATTGTGTTCCTCATAAAAAACAAAGACATGCAGGTTTGGAATGACTTGGTGGACTATCCCAAATAAACTTGACTTCTGCTGATTCTGATTGTAATCACTGCTTAAAGTGATTGTGTTCATGTGGCTCTCGAATAATAAAATGCTGTCAGGAACATGTTTGAGGGTTGCACCAGATAGCTTTACAGGGTGATGCACTGAACTGAAGATTTAGACACAAACTGTACAATATTAATGTAGTAAAAGAAGCCAACTATTTCACTACTGTTCTGGATGGCGAGTAAACACAAATAGGAGCAAAAGACCTAGTAAGTGCAGCTTGTTTTTCATCTAAGTGCTGTTTATGTGGTTACAGAACACTTTAAATACATGGCTGTAAGTGCAGCATGAGGAAAGGTACAAGATAAAACAGAGGTCACCATTATCAAAATCACAAGGCAAAGGGGCGGTTTAGCTTGGCAAGGCAGGTTTGTTTGAGGACTTCCCAAACAAAAGGCAAACACGAGTTGAGACGAGGTGAACTCGTTGGATTATGTACAAAACGATCCCTCTTTTATCCAATGCAGAACAAGGATCTTGCTGTACAAATACACCATGTCGACGTCACGTGAGAATCTCTTCTGCATCTGATCGAAGTCTTAAGCTCCACAAGAAACAAAAGACAAGGAAATTCAATCCGGATCTTAATCTAATGATCAAAAATTGGACGTTTTATGATAAAAATCCCATTTTGGCAGCTGTGCAGATCCACAGCCATCTGCTTTAGTCACACGAGAGCCGATCCCTGAAGACCAGCGCATTAAAAAATAGAAACGAAAGATTTACTGATGTATTTGATGGCTTGATATACATCCGAAGGAAAAGTATCAGTGACAAAGGTTCAAGAGTCAAACGGATGACCTTAAATGCTTAAATGGCGGTCATAAATCTTTGTTACCTGAAGTGTGCCAGATCAGGTGAACAGAATGAGGTTAATCTGCGTTTATCAATCAAGAACATGAGGCAAAGATGAAGTGTGCTGGTCTTTGGCTCCCTCTTATGTCTTCTGTGGGTCGGGTGAGAGAGGGCCGGGCGTGTTGGTGCCGTCTAAATTATACACGGGAACAGAGAACTGCGCGGAACTCAGTACAGAAGGAAACTGATAAAAGGAAAAGAAACAGGATGAAAAAAAAACCTGAAAGAATCCTTTTTGGAATATTGTGATTTAATTGTGAACATCTCAATGTGTCTAAAAGTGGTTTTTACTAGTGTTGTTTTCATTAACTAAAAGAAGAAAAATCGATAATTTTGACCCATACAATGTATTTTTTGGCTATTGTTACAAATATACCCGTGCAACTTAAGACTGGTCTTGTGTTCTAGGGTCACATATTCTACATCTCTAATCCTACCCAATACCAAAACTTATAAACTACCGTACTAACTATTAATAATCAGCAAATTAGGAGTTTATTGAGGCAAAAGTTGTAGTTAATGGTTTGTTAATAGCGAGACTTGGACCTTAAAATAAACCGTGACCACTATAAATATTAGATGAAAAGAAATTCAACTCGAAAACAAAGTTAATATTGCCTGTAAACTGAAAGTTTAAGAAGTACTAAAATTACTAATATATATATATATTTTTTAAACGATTAAAATTCATTTAAAAGCTTAGTGACAATAAAAACTGAAAAAATAAAGCTAATTTGAAATGTTAATAAGTACTATAATAGCATATAAATATTTCTAAAATAACACTAGTTTTTAGACTTTCACACCGAAATTTTTGGGTGCGGATGGTTTGAGTTGATAAGAAAGCTGTTCAATTATTAAATCATAAATTGAATCATAAATTAATATCTAATAATGAATAGCCCATAACTATACCAAATCATTAAAAATAATTTTAATAGCAACTGTAAAGGAACACATTATAACAAATATTGTAATACATTTGTTGTAAATATAAATCATATAATAAATGATTTCCATTTTTCAAGGAAAGCACACTTTTGAAATTCCCTGATATTTCCAGGACCGTGGGAATCCTAAACAACTCGAGTCTTTCTAAACCTTGAACAAAGAGATCACTCCCATTCTATTCAACAAAGCTGTTTTCACTAAAAGCTCCGTATCGTGTTGCTTATGATTTTTGTCTTGCTCAAATCAGTGGAATCACAGGCTGGTTTGAGCACCAGCGCCATTTCTGGGTGAAAAGGAATATCTGTTGTACTCTCAGATGATTAAATGTGACTGTAGCCTTGAGGAGGTTGGAATCAAATTTAGGTTTGGACCAAGTGTGAAAACAGCCTTTAACTTAGTGAACAATTTCAAGGGGCTCACCTGAAAGAGGGTATGCGCGCCCTGTCTCCGGGCGGGACTGTGGGGTGCCATCGGACTGAGTGTGCTCCAGAAATGGATATTGGACAGAAGTGGACTGGGTGTGAGCAGCAGGGGTGTCTGCAACAAATTTGGAAACTTTTTCAGACCTTTATACAATATGACTCCCGTTCCAGCTTGTATTCATTAAAGACACCTTCCCAAATACTCGTGGCACACAGCATTTGCAAGAGGCATAACCCTGAAATATAAATGTTTAATTAAAAGTGGCTTAATGAGACTTTAAGCAGCAATAAGAATTAATCACAGGGCAAGGGTGCAGCACTTCCCCAAAAACAATAAATAATAGATTTGAATTATAGTAGATTTCATCTTTCATCTCGCTGAAGAGACAGCAGGAGGTTGATCCTCTGGGGCTGGCTGTATGAGTGCTCGTAAATGCAAAGATTGTGCGGTCTTAACGAGGTGATCCATCAAAGCAGCATCCAGCTAAACCTCACCATATGATCACGATCATGTAACAGCCAATGAGTGTCTTCCAGGCACATCATCCCGAGTTCAAGTGGTGCACTACTGCCCTCTAGTGTCTCCCAATTACATGAACGCAACCAAAAGGACTTCAATTAGACCTGTTCAGGATAACCACACATTTTGAGAAAAAAATATGTTGGTTGTAATTGGCAATTTTCTTTTAAACAACACACCCTCAGAGAAGGAGAGTCTTTTTTTTTGTTTGTTGTATTTTTACAACAGCTTGCCTACATTTGCAAGCATATAAACAGGTTCACAAGCTATTCTGACATAAAAGTTGCAAATATCACACAAAAGCAACTGTTGTTTGTCATTTAGTTCTATATACACTACCAGTCAAAAGTTTTTTGTGCCTGCTGCTCATATTATCAGACGACTGCACCATCGTTGCGTACGGGAACCTGCATCCACAGCCCCTGCAGGATTTACCACACATTTTGAGAAAAAAATATGTTGGTTGTAATTGGCAATTTTCTTTTAAACAACACACCCTCAGAGAAGGAGAGTCTTTTTTTTTGTTGTTGTATTTTTACAACAGCTTGCCTACATTTGCAAGCATATAAACAGGTTCACAAGCTATTCTGACATAAAAGTTGCAAATATCACACAAAAGCAACTGTTGTTGGTCATTTAGTTCTATATACACTACCAGTCAAAATTTTTTTGTGCCTGCTGCTCATATTATCAGACGACTGCACCATCGTTGCGTACGGGAACCTGCATCCACAGCCCCTGCAGGATTCACCGCGCCGCTTCGACGTTGAGGTGTCAGTGCTGGGAGCCGAGGGCTGCTTGGCGGGCGTCCACTACTGGGAGGTGATGTGTCCGAGAAAACCCAGTGGATGATCGGCGTAGCCAACGAAATGTTTTTTTAAAGAATTCTCTTCTGCTCACCAAGCCTGCATTTATTTGATCCAAAACACAGAAAAAGCAGTAATATTGTGAAATATTTTTACTATTTAAAATAAATGCTTTTTATTTGAATATATTTTCAAATGTAATTTATTCCTTTGATCAAAGCTACATTTTCAGCATCATTACTCCATTCTTCAGTGTCACATGATCCTTCAGAAATCATTCTAATATGCTGATTTGCTGTTCAAGAAACATATTATTATTATTATTATCAATGTTTAAAACAGCCGAGTACATTTTTTTCAGGATTCTTTGATGAATCAAAAGATCCAAAGATCAGCATTTATCTGAAATAAAAAGCTTTTGTAACATTATACACTATACCAATTCAAAAGCTTGGAGTCAGTAGAATTTTGAAATTATAGAAGTTAATACTTTTATTTAATTGCAAGGATTTAACACTTTAGCAAAAGTGATGATAAAGACATTTAAAATGTTACAAAAGATTTCTATTTCAGATCAATGCTGTTCTTCTGAACTTTCTATTCATCAAAGAAACCTGAAAAAAATTCTACTCGGCTGTTTTCAACATAATAATAACAAATATTTTTTAAGCAGCAAATCAGAATATTAGAATGGTTTCTGATGGATCATGTGACACTGAAGACTGGAGTAATGATGCAGAAAATTCAGCTTTGAAATCACAGGAATATATTACATTTTAAAATATATTCAAATAGAAAAGTTATTTCAAATAGTAAAAATATTTCAAAATTGTACTGCTTTTGCTGTATTTTGAATCAAATAAATGCAGGCTTGGTGAGCAGAAGAGAATTCTTTAAAAAACATTACAAATCTTACTGTTCAAAAACTTTTGACTGGTAGTGTGTATAGAACAACAGTTTTTGACCAACAGCAGTTGCTTTTTTGTGATATTTGCAACTTTTATATCAGAATAGCTTGTGAACCTGTTTAAACTGCGTAATATGCTTGCCAATGTAGGCAAGCTGTTGTAAAAACACACACACAAAAAAAAGACCAATTATGACAAAAATCATCACCTTCTCTGAGGGTGTGTTGTTTAAAAGAAAATGACCAATTACACCCAACATATTTTTTTATAAGACGTGAAGCAGCAACAGTAAATAACTGCACAAGAGGAGATGCCTCTAGTGAAACGGAGAGATAATGTGACCGACACGAAATTTGCTGTTCTGGACAAATCAATGACAGCAAAAAAAAAAAAAAAACAGCATTGTCCATGCATGACGGGGAGGTCAGGAGGACACTGACCTGCAGTAAGGCTGGGGTGAGAGAGGCCATAGGGAGGGATGGGCTGCACAGATTGAGAGGGCTGAGGTCAGAGCTGGTCACCACCAGCGTGGGCATCAACTCCAGGCCTTTGGGTTTCTTAGACTTTCCGCTGAGATTGCGCAGTGGAGATTCAGACATCACAGACACTGGTACAATGTCCTTGGAATCAGAGCTGGGCTGGTCCTGGTAGATCAAGACGGGGAGAGAAAGATGGGCATGTTCTTCTGTTTGGGAGGTTCAATACACTGCAGAATTTTAATAGGATTGAGATGAACACTTCTTTAATATTTACATTACACAATATTCTTCATTTCGAAAATTATTACATTCTTATTTGAAGTGATTCAAACCCTATTCATGCTACATTTAAAACAAACAAACAACATAAACATAAAATATTGCAAAATTTTCCACACAAAATCTAATTTAGCCATTGCCTGTATTTGAAAATAACAGGATACCTGAATGCACTGTGTGTGTGTGTGCGTGTGTGTGTGTGTGTAAATTTCAGCTGTGATAAAGTTAATGCATTGTTGTTGGTTGAGAAAAATCTTTCATTAAATTGGTTGTTCTGCATCCAAATAATTGAAATAAAAATATAAAGAAAACAAACATTTTAGACAGTTGTTCCCTCAAATAATATATAACAAACAATTTTACAACAAAGTTAAAAAATAATAAAATAACCATCTTGCATTGTTGTTGGTGGTGTAAAATCGTTCAGTGTAAATTCTTCCTTAAACAATTCTGCTACATCAAATAAATGAACTATTAATAATTCTGTTTATTGAAAAGGCATATGCTACAAACAAGACGTACACACTGACTGGCTCTGAGGTGGCATTGTATTTACTAAGAAGAGCCACCAAAAAACTGAATCTCATAAAGAATCATTTTGCAACAGCAACTCTCTGAATCAAAATACAGTCGAATCGTGAGATGCCCGATTCATTTTAAAATCTTCTTATGCATGTTTCTGGTTCAGAAAAAAGCAAATGTGAAGTAAAAACTCCTCAAAGCTGCAAGCTTATCTTCTAGGATTTGACACACCACCTTCCCTCATACATGATTTATATTTTATTGTATTTTCCCAGTGGCAGAACTGCATAAGTAAGTAGGCATCAGCACTAAGTGTCATACCTGCAGCTGTAACTCTGAAGGCTGTGAGGAGAGGGACTCAATTTCACTGTCAATCAGCAGCTCCTGGGAATCCGTCATCTGAGAAGAGGAGGGCGACTGGGAACACGTGAGTGGCAATGAAGAGATTCTTGAGAGCGGGAAGCCCGTCATGGCGTTCTCGGAGGTGGGATTCTCCACAAACGCACACACTACATACGAGACGCCGGCCTGTTTGGACTCAGGTTCTGCCGGATCGTGCAGTGGGGCTTGGGTGGATTGTGTCGGAAGTTCAAGCTTCCCTATAGCAGACGGAGTGGTGTGTCTGCTCTGTGGCATGGTCCCAAATTTAATGACAGTGGGTGGCTGGGGCGACTCCTGGGCTGCCTTTTTCTCCATTAGCTTTTCTTCTGGATTTTCAACCTTCATGGATTGAAAAAGTTGCGTTCCCGACTGCAGAGAGGTCAACGTGAAGGATGTATACAAGCCAGAGTGGATATAGTCATTCCGATTGGACGATTTGGACTGACCCGGTGTTACTGCACCTCGGTCTGGGGCAGCTTTGCTATCTTTATCCCTGGAGATGTTTGCAGGTTTGTCGGAGAGGGGCAGAGGTCCGTTTGAGCCGCCGTCTGCACCCTCCATTCTGGCCATGACATCTCCCTTTAGGATATCAGGGTACGATACAAAACGATACACAAACTTCTGCCCGTTTACTTTCTTGATGATGTTCTGCGAGGGAAAAAAAACGAGAAAATTCATGTTTATTTTAGATGGTGAATGACTTTGTCCTACATACAACTAAAAATATATCTACGCAATCACCCAAACAAATCAACTAAAACATCTCGCATGTACATTTTTACAATCCAGATTGTTGCGTTCTTCTACGCTCTCTCACTTGGACTAAACAAAATAACATGCAATTAAGTAAATGAACCTGTGTTAAGAGACCAGAAAGAATGTGGAAAACGATACTTCTTGCCCTGTGGTGCCAAAATGAGGCTTAAAAAGCTAGCGCACCAAACCCTCGGTTCCCACTCAAGAATAAACTCCTAGCAAGAGGTCATGACTTTCTTACAGCACTAACGAGCTCGGTGACCCTCTTGTTTCAGTTCAGAGTGACTTGATTGTGTGTTTACAACAACAAAACTGATGGAGGAGTGTGGGGGGTGATGAGAGGGCTGAAAGCTAGCAATTATTATAAACACTGATTTAAATATGAGCACAACAGTGTTTACCAGGTAAATCAGAAAAGCCTGTAAGATCTCATGCAAAAAAAAGAAAATAATTTATTTTATAACTTTTAATTACAATCTATAATTATTTTATCATTTATGTTTTTTTATCAAATATTATATTTTTATATAATTTTACATAATTTATTTAGAGTTTATCATAATTACAGATAATTTATTTGCATTAGAGCCCAACCGATATGGGTTTTTTGGGCCCGATACCGATATTAGGGAGTAAAACCGACATATATATATATATGTCGATACCGACATATCAGCCGATATTCTTTGTGTATATTATAGTACAGTACCAGTCAAAAGTTTGGACACTTTCCCATTCGTGTGTCCAAACATTTGACTGGTACTATATATAGAATACAGTATATACATAAACAAATTATATATACATAAACACATTTTTTGCAATGATCACTCAAATAATGGTGACAGATATGTAAGAGCATTTAACAATTTAACAATAAACTTGCGATGAGTGCGATGCACAAAGTAACGGGGTGTTAGTTGTAACACACGTGGTTTGAATATTTATTTTACCATAGTAACATTTACATTCTGGCTTAAGTAAATTTTTTATCTCAATTTTTATTATTCATTTAAAATGAGACAAATCTGCTATCATTTTAATCTCCAATCTGTTATTTATCAGTTCAGATAGTTTTTTTAGAATATATATTCTAAACCCCATGTGTATTTACACAAACTGAGAAAGTCAAACATTTTTATTTTGTACCCCACTCTCCCCTACCTCTGTAAATAAATACAATATAAATTCACGTCTCGCACACTTTAATGCCCTTTGAATGTAACGTGTACGTTCCCTTGGAACTGGAATTATGGCAGAATTTCATGTGAAGTCCACTTCGCAGGGCACTTACGGTCGAATAAGACAATGCGTGAATGCTGCCTGAACAAGAAACCTCCTTACTGAAGGGAAAGTGTTGAGTGGTGTCACCATCTCGCGAACACAAAGGCGGATCTCCACCAAATTCGGGGGATCCCTTCAGCTCGAGGAGCCCTCTCGAACGCCACCCTCCGCGTGTCGGTAGCCCCCCGGGATCGCTAGATTCGACCAGACCGCGAACTTAACCACCCGTAACTCCCGAACCCTGGCGGCTATGCATGTGGGGGTGGTCTCATTCGAAAGAGGGCCTCGAGACGTACACTCGATTCGCATTCGAGAGGGTTCCTTGAGCTGAAGAGATCCCCCGAATTTGGTGCGGATTCGCATCGGCCAATAATATAGGCAAAACGATATATCGGTCGGGCTCTAATTTGCATATTGTGTAGAACAGTTTAGCAGAGCATTCACACTGCTTTTTTCCCCACATACAATGACGTGAAATTAACTGAACTGGAACCATCAAGCTCCATAATGACAAATGGGAAAAAAAAAAGAAAAAACACATAAAATGGCATAGAAGTTGTCCATACAGTTGTATGTATCTTGTACTGCAGTTATATCTGATCAAATGCACATTATTATTCTTTAGCTTGGGTTGAACAAATCATTTTTGCTTGGTTGGAACAGCAGCTATGCAAAATATGTCAATATTTGTTTCTCTGTTTCTGTAACTAGGATTTACAAAAGCTTCAGTCTGGATCCAGAACACCTGAGAAGAGATGATGCCAACCCCTCAGAGGACCTCAGATGATGCCAACCCTGAAACAACATACAGAACTACCACATTTTGCTATAAGTTTGATTGCATCATATAATCATTATTGTTAATAGTGTTCATCGTCTGTTTGATTACGTCATTAACTGAATTTTACCGTACATTTCTGCCATATGTACATCAATTTGACACAGTCACCACTGACAAGCTACTACTAAATAGATTATAGAAACTTAATTTTCTGTAAAGCTGCTTTGCAGCGATTTGTATTGTGAAAAGCGCTATACAAAAACTTGAACTGAACTAAATGACTAAATGTAAATGTAATATAGTCATATATTTAAATTTGTTTATTTTTATGAACTTTTTCATTGATATACAGGTTTATAAGGACAGTTGTCATTAAAAAGTTAATTATTTTGCTTTAAAAAAAGAACATTAGTACTAAACAAACGTATAAAATAACTTTAAACGTATTCAAATTAATACAATTAAAATGTTACAATTAACTAACCTAACATCTTATAAAACTAAATTAGCACTAGATATCGGCTAGAGTAATCTGAAATCATGCAGTAAGAAGTGTCATTATCAAATATTGGGAGATAATAATAATAAATCACTAATATCGGCTGATAATGTTGTTCTTATATAAGACAATCAAGGATCTTGGAATCATGGAAGGCATGCCTATCTATGAAAACTGAAAAAAATGTTAGTCTGCTCCTCATAAAGTTATCAGCTTTAAAAGACTTGGAATATTGATCACAAGTTGTATAGACTACCTTTATGATGGTATTTTGACGAACCCCATCCACATCTTACACATTCTTCAAAACATCAAGAAAGTTCGGACCAACATGAAGGTGAGTGAACGAAATGCTGCTGACTGCTGAGATGTTTCAAATGCTTGCTGACAATACACACCTTGTCGTAGTAGTAACGCAGAGCCCGGCTGAGTTTGTCGTAGTTCATGCTGGGTTTGTTTTTGCGGGCGCCCCATAATCTGGCCACCTCCTCCGCCTGCAACAGTTTGAACTCTCCATCCTCACTGGTCCAGCAGATGAGCTGGTCATTGTTGGGATCCAACAGAAGCTGCAGCAGGAACTGCCACAGGGTGACTGAGCTGTCCATGTCTTCTCTATTCACAGACGTGGGGGGAACGTTACCTTACGGGATCCTGTTCGCACTCACAGCCTGACCGACACGTCACGCCATATTCCGGCAAATATCCTGACAGAGGCTGAAATCAAAATCAAGATGTGATTACATCAATTAGACGGGTGCAAAGAAATGCCACTGAGTGACACGACCAGCATCGACCACTTATTCTATGAACCTTATAGCTTCAAAGACCAAACATAGAGCGTCAATTCAAAAACATGGTAAATATGCGCACCATATTGAATACCAAATGGTACTGGACTTCAGTTTAATCCTGGCAATGCGGAGAGTGCAGGACGACTGTGTGTGTGTGTGTAAGCAGCTTAAATTAAAACTAAATCTGTCTTGACTCATCCGATATCCAGCTGGTAGTTGCCAAAGAGAGTGAAAAAACGTCTCCAACATACAATCTGACAGAACAGAACACACAAATATAGAAACACAGAGGCGAGACGTGACAGCTTTCCCCAGACTGTAGGAGACAACGTCTGGGAATTTTAAACAAAGAGTTCAGGACAAAATGAACCTAGAAATCACCAATTATTTAAAGCTCAAAATTGTGGCCTGTTGCATTATGATAGTGTTTGCATACTGTAAACGCTACACTTGTGCATCCTTAATTTAACGGCAAAAATTAGATGCATTTAGTTTTTGCTTATTATTCTTTATTTAAGACATAAATGACCCAAGATTTTTACATAAACTAAATTCAAAACGAACTTAATTTCAGTGTATGGTGCCATCATATACACCTATCTGGATATTTAATATAAACACTAAATTTACACTTACACCTGAATGGTTTTGATCCTAGATGTCATCTTATAATGACAGATTTCATATTTCCATACAGAATATTATATAAACCTGTAAATCGAGACACACACATACCTTTGTTTGAGCTTAACTTAAAATTCCAGGACCAAAGGTTGGCGAACCTCTGACAATAAATCCTAAATGTGTATTTAACCCCAAAAGAGCCATGTAAACTCGCATAAAACTTGATATATTGGATATTGTTGTAAACTGCAACCTGTTAGAACACGAGTTTCGTTGGTTAGCATCGAGCTAACGTCTGTCAAACTCACCCGAGAAGCTTTTTGCTCTCCAGACTCGGTCGGATTCCGACGGATTAAAGCCAACGATATAAAAGAAGAAAAAAAATGCAGACGGTTTTCTTATATGTTTACATCGTGTAACAAGAGTTGGTGGTCAGATAGCATAGCGTGCTAGCCTGCTAGCTAACGGAGACGTAGCAAAAAGATATTTTTAGACTCATTAAACTAACATGAGCTGATCTAAATTTGACTATTTAAAGCGGGTTTATGACTTATTTACTATGAGAACGACAAAAAAAATTTAAAAATAGGCAGAGAAGGAGAAAGGGAAACGCTACAGTCTCTGCATCTCACGTAAATTACTCATATTTTAGCTGCAACCACAATAATAGAAAAACCGGAAGCAACAAGCCCACCAGACTGAACACTTTCACCCCAACAGCGCTCAACAAAACTCCAGAACAAAGCCTCAGACTTTATGAATCTGTAAGAAATGAGGTCCATTCGGTTTGAATAGCGTAACAATCCTCAAGATGCAAGTTCAGCTGCATGAGAAATACAGTGAAGCCAACAAAGTGCAGTGAAAGCAAACATGTAGATCATCTCATAATGGACCGTCTCACTTCATCTACGACCATATTAAAATGCATTACCCATCAATACTGTAAAATGCTTCTCCTGGTTCAAAAGAAACTGAAATGTTAAAAAAGGAAATATTAATGAACACCCATTCAGTTTGATTGCACTTTGACATTTAGATAAGAAATGACAGACAGATGATTGACAGACATACAGACAGATAGATAGATAAGAGACTTACCCCCGGTTTCACAGACAAGGCTTAAGCCTAGTCCCCGTCTAAAATGTAAGTCTGTCCTGATTCAACTGAAAGAAGCTTGCACTGATTGATCTTGAAATATGTCGGTGCCCTTGTTTTGTCTCAAGATGCACACCAGTAATGTTTTTTCTAAGGCATGTTTATACAAATTACTTTAAAATCCTAATTGAACGATGACCTGGCTTAAGCTCAGATAGATAAGAGACTTACCCCCGGTTTATTGTTTATACAAATTACTTTAAAATCCTAATTGAACGATGACCTGGCTTAAGCTAAGCCCCGTCTGTGAAACCCGGGCCTATGTGTTCTTTAAATATACAGCAGGACTATATAAGGGGAGTGCAACATGTAAAAGGAGATTAAACATGATGGAAGAGCTCAGAAAAACAAGTTTGAGACATAAAATATCAAATATAACATTCCCCTTATACCAAAACGTTTATATCTACATATATCAATTGTCAACAACCCATACACTACATAGCCAAAAGTATGTACACACCCCCTTCTGATGCAATAGGATCAAAATTTACCACACCCTCCGTGATTTATTTACACCATTGTCTCATTTATACTCATTTGCCATGCGTGTATAAAAGAGTGGCAGAATAAGTGTAATTGTAGTCTTCTGCCTTCCAAACAGATTCCATCTCTGCAGGAAAAAATAAATGCAGGCACAAGCCCAGGATTGCTGCCGTACAAGATCAGTGCCTGTCGCTTTTACTCTCCTAAAACATGCACTAACGCCAACAATAAGCATTTGTCAGAATTAAAAGTGCTCTGCATTAGAAAGAAAACCATGTGAATTATTAAAAGCATAACTCCAAAACAGAAGATTATTTTTGTCGACGGACAATTATTTGACCTCTTCCTCCAGTTTGAAAAAACTAAAATGTCTGTAGTTATATGGGGGGAAGCATTCTGGAGGGTTAAAGCAGGAATGTGAAGTTTGCAGTTTTGTTAAAACAATTAATTCTTACACACAAAAATGTTTGTTAATAGGCTTTAAAGTCTAAATTGTCTCTTAAATAGACTGATATGCTTCCAGTTATGCATAAGTGGAATTCTCTTTCTGCACCAATCATTGTTAGTTACATAAATCTAAAACTACACCAGCAGTTTACCTGAAATAAAATAATGAAAAACCTAAAGTAAAATAGAAACGTTGCCTTTGCAATTAATTGAAATAAAATATGTTGAAGTACTATAATGACTAAAAATAAAACAGAATACAAATAAATGGAATAAATGTAAATATTTAAACAAAAGCGAACTGAATTCAAATTCAAATGAAATTGAAAACCGAAATGAAAATTTGAAATGTAACAAATTTTGAAATGAACAAAAAGTAGAAATACTAACAAAACAAAATAGAAACACAAAACAACTAAGAATGACAAAAGCATATAAAGTTTAAAATTAAAATGTCAAAATAATAATAGTAATACTAAAATGTTGAACAATGCTTTTCATACACTGTCAGAAAAAATAAGAAAGTCACCCGGTTTACCTTCACACGATCGTTACAAAAGTTCAGATATTTGTTAGAATTTGCACAGACTTGGTTAGTATGATTTAACTTGTATTTAACCCAGAACTTTCCTTTAAATAGCTGATTAGACTTTAAACCTTAAAGGTGACATATCACAGCTTTTCCAACAGTTTTTTTTTTACTTTATTTTCTTACATAGGAAAATAGCATTTTTTCAGTTATTCAAAAATATAACCTAACTTTGACCAGCTATATGGAATGAGAGCAGCTATAGTCGGATGGTCTGTGTAAATGAAAACTGTTAATGCATTAACGTGAAGTTGTAGGTAAAGGAAATAATTTAACGCTTTTATTGGGATGAAGGTGGTGGCAGAAAAATCACGGATGATAATGTTAAAAAAAAACAGACTTCTCTCTTCAAAAAAGAGAGAACAAGAAAAATTAGATCTTACATGACAGTACTAGTCAAAAAAAAAAACACTGTAAATCAGGATGCTCTCTGTGCGATATTAAAAATGATGTACCTAAGTGATCATTCAGAAACTGCTATAAACTTTAGAGAACTGATAAGTCCAGATACTAAGTATGTAGAGCACCTGATAGTTCATGAAAGCCTACATGAGCTACTAAGTAGAGCGGGGGGGAAAAATAACGCATAAAGTAGTTAAGACCAGATGTAAAAAGGCAAGATGATGTCAAGGACATTCACTCCATGTGGAAGATTAACATGACCTTCTCAAAAAAGAAACTCAAGCACAGTCCCATTAATGACGGAGTTGAAGCCTTCAATGGCGTATCGGTAAAATGATGTCCAGATAGCTTCATTTCGACAGGAAGCGATCAGCTGCCAGTTTTTGTGAACAGTAACACCTGTCCTCAGCGATTTAGCTTATCAACCGTGACGGCACAAAGTAGAAAAAAATGCATTTATCTAATGCAAAGCACATTACAATGACATAAAGGAAACAATTCTCTTTGTGTGACTACAGATCGAAGAGAAAATTGTTTCTAGCTTATATATGTTTTACAGTACATAAGTTCATCCATACGTGTAGTGATGTTATCCACGGCCCCGTGGAGCCCGGTTTGGCATACGCTCTCAACAGACTGAGAGAGATGAGGCACGAGAAAAAAAACCTGGAAAGCAACTTGATGCATAAATACCTTTCAGCTGGCGCAGGGATGTGATTGGGCCAAGACAATTCCGGATATTTCAACGCGATTGGGATTGCGCGATTTATATTTGAATAAAGTAAAAATGTAAAAACTTGTGACATGTCACAAATACCTGCATCGGACCTAATTTTGCATTACATAAGAATTCCTTTTATAAGAGCTATACTTCAGAAGGGTAATTTAGTATGATGAATCTCATACAGAAATGTCAAAATAAAATAATTAAATTAAGTTTTTTTCTTTTTTTATAGTGTGATTTATTTATAGTGTGAATTATTTTCATGACAATTAAGTGCATTTCCACCCCAAATTCTCTGCAAAAAAACAACAACTAATTCTCATGACTGTAACACAGTTATTATCATTTTTTGTTTTGATAATAGAAATCGGTATAATTTATCAGTCACTGTTGTATTTTAATAACTAATACTTTTCATAGTGCTCACTTACAATTGTACTTTACAAATTAAATATATATTTCTTTGAGTAATACGGTAATTCAATTATTATTTTTACAATTTTTAATGTTTTTGCATTAAAATAATAAAAATGAGAGGTTTTTGCATGGCTACTGGTTATTTGGAGAATTAAAGATACTTAACAGTAATAAAAACAATGTCACAACGTATGCAACATCCAAGTAAAACATTCTTTTTGTTTTGGATAAAATAGGACTAAATATTGCATTTTTCTTCAGATTCGCCCTGACAGAGGCCATGTTTGATAATGCATAATATCATAGCCTAAATCATAGTGCATATTGTCTTAATTTAAGGAAAATTCTGCCGCATTCTTGCTTCAGTTAACGTGCTAGAGCTGACCAAAATACTGTTTTCCTTGTATATTTTCATCTATAACACAATATTCACAAACTGTACAGGACATACGTTTCTTCAAATTATACTCCGTATTGCCCTTTAGATCTCCAGACTTCCTGCAACCTGGTTTAAAGGCAATAAGAATAGATCTCGAAAGCTGTTGCAGCTCAACCTGTAGCTATACACCAGCGAAGGACGAAACGTGATGAAATCGACTGTGAGCTTTACTTCAGCCCTCCAAAGAAGCCAGAAATCTGCTTTGAGCTTAACAATCACATCCCTGAGTTTCAAGTTAGCTGAGTGTAGCACCAAGATAAACAAACATCTGGATAAAAAAATGGGGGAGGAAACAGAGACAAAAATGAAGGCGGAGGGTTACAGCTTCGATATCATAGCTTTCCCTCTCAGACTCCAGGAATCACACTCCAGGTTTATCCGGGGATCAGACGTTTGCCCTGACTAGTCTGCCGGCGCGAGGACCCCGGTGCACCTTGGTGTGTTTGGACAGGTGGTCGCTCCTGGCGAACTTTTTGTCGCACATTGTGCACTCATAAGGCTTGACTCCCGAGTGAGACCGCCGATGGCGGGACAGCTCATCAGAACGAGAGAACCTTTAAAGCACAAAACACAGCAGGACATACACATCAGCTCACAACTCTGGAAATAAATCATTAAATCAAGGCCCCGTTACAGGATTTGAGGTTAAACAGCTCAACCTATTCACAAGGTTCCCACACTAGTCCACTAATACGTACATTTCTATGACTTGCTCTCATGAGATTTTATCATTTTTAAATAATCATTTATAGAAATTGCTCTCACAAAGAGATATTTCTAGACACTCAAATATTTTGAGCATTGCTTTTTTCCTTATTGTTTATGAACCACACTTCTGTTCTAACATTTTTTTTTAAAGAAATTAATACCTCAATTCAGCAAGGACACTTTAAATTGATCAAATGTGACAATAAAGGCATTTATAATGTCCGTCACAAAAGATTTCTATTTCAAATAAATGCTGTTCTTCTGAACTTTCTATTATTCAAAGAATCCTGAAAAAAATTCAGGTTTCTACAAAAATATTAACGGGTTTTAACATTGATAATAATTATAAATGTTTCTTGAGCAGCAAATCAGCATATTAGAATGATTTCTGAATGTGACACTGAAGACTGGAGTAATGATGCTGAAAATTCAGCTTTGCATCACAGGAATAAATTACATTTGAAAAGAAAACAGTTATTTTATTTTGAATTGTAATATTTCACACTATGGCTGTTTTTACCCTATTTTTGGTAAGCATAAGAGACATCTTCTAAAA